CCGCCACGTGGCAGGGCCGGGCCCGTGTCCCCCCCCCGTGTCCCCCCCCCGCGGCCGGCGGGGTCCGGTGTCACTCGTGTCCCCCGTGTCCCCCCCGGCGCCATGCGGGAGCTGCTGCTGCTGCTGCCCCTGGGGCTGGGGGCGGCCCTGGGCCTGAGGGTCGCCCCTGTCGCCCCCCCCCAGGTGTCCCCTGCAGCCCCCCCTGCTCCGGGGCCCCCCCGCGCGGCGTCGCCGCCATTGTCACCATTGTCACCGCCATTGTCACCGCCGCTGTCACCGCGGGACTGCTGCTGCCACCGGCGCGCGGGCACTGACCCCTGGGTGTGTCCCCGGTGTCCCCATGTCCTCATTGTCCCCGTGTCTCCAGTGTCACATCCCCAATGCCCCTAGTGTCCCCAGTGTCCCTGTCTCCGTGTCCCCAGCATCCCTGACCCTGCTGTCCCTGTGTCCCCATGTCCCCTATATCCTTAGCGTCCCCATCCCAGTGTCCCTAGTGTCCCCAATGTCCCATCCTCAGTGCCCCTGGCCCCAGTGTCCCCGTGTTCCTGCTGTCCCCGCCTGTCCCCAGTGTCCCCATGTCCCCAGTGTCCCCATGTCCCCAGTGTCCCCATGTCCCTGCTGTCCCCGCTGTCCCCATGTCCCCAGTGTCCCCACGTCCCCGGTGTCCCCTCTCCAGCCGGGCAGGGTCCCGAGCCCAGCCTGGGCTGGCCCTGCCCTCGGGATGTCACCCGCTGTCCCCAAGGCGCTGGCAGGACCCGGCCGTGTGTCCCCCCCCCTCCCCCGCGGTGTCACCCGCCTGGGGACAGGCTGGTGCCACCTCAGCAGCCAGAGCCTTCCCGCTTTGTGTCCCCAACAATGGCAGCGCCCACGTGCCGGGGGCCCTGTCCCCTCCCGGGGGACAGCGGGACACGGGGACAGCGGGACAGCGGGACACAGGGACAGCGGGACACGGGGACAGCGGCACCGCGGCTGCTGACGGCGGGTGAGTCCCCAGTGTCCCCAATGTCTGTCCCCAGTGTCCCCAATGTCCCCAATGTCTGTCCCCAGTGTCCCCGCCCCTGTGTCCCCCCCTGCTGTCCCCATGGGGTGTCCCCCATGTCCCCAGAGGTGCCACCCCCGTGTAGCCCCTTCCCCCAGGGATGTCCCCATGGGTGTCCCCAGCGTTCCCTGGAGATGCCACCCACGGGTACCCCCATGTCCCCAGGGATGTCCCCATGGGTGTCCCCTGTGTCCCCATGAGATGACATCCTGGGGTCTCTCCGGGATTTGGGGGTGCAGCCCCTGAGGGTCGCCCCTGTCGCCCCCCCCCAGGTGTCCCCTGCAGCCCCCCCTGCTCCGGGGCCCCCCCGCGCGGCGTCGCCGCCATTGTCACCATTGTCACCGCCATTGTCACCGCCGCTGTCACCGCGGGACTGCTGCTGCCACCGGCGCGCGGGCACTGACCCCTGGGTGTGTCCCCGGTGTCCCCATGTCCTCATTGTCCCCGTGTCTCCAGCGTCACATCCCCAATGCCCCCAGTGTCCCCAGTGTCCCTGTCTCCGTGTCCCCAGCATCCCTGACCCTGCTGTCCCTGTGTCCCCATGTCCCCTATATCCTTAGCGTCCCCATCCCAGTGTCCCTAGTGTCCCCAATGTCCCATCCCCAATGCCCCACATCCCCAATGCCCCCCTGTCTCCGTGTCCCCAGCATCCCTGACCCTGCTGTCCCTGTGTCCCCATGTCCCCTATATCCTTAGCGTCCCCATCCCAGTGTCCCTAGTGTCCCCAATGTCCCATCCCCAATGCCCCTGGCCCCAGTGTCCTCGTGTCCCTGCTGTCCCCGCCTGTCCCCAGTGTCCCCATGTCCCCAGTGCCCCTGGCCCCAGTGTCCCCGTGTCCCTGCTGTCCCCATGTCCCCGCTGTCCCCGCTGTCCCCATGTCCCCAGTGTCCCCACGTCCCCGGTGTCCCCTCTCCAGCCGGGCAGGGTCCCGAGCCCAGCCTGGGCTGGCCCTGCCCTCGGGATGTCACCCGCTGTCCCCAAGGCGCTGGCAGGACCCGGCCGTGTGTCCCCCCCCCTCCCCCGCGGTGTCACCCGCCTGGGGACAGGCTGGTGCCACCTCAGCAGCCAGAGCCTTCCCGCTTTGTGTCCCCAACAATGGCAGCGCCCACGTGCCGGGGGCCCTGTCCCCTCCCGGGGGACAGCGGGACACGGGGACAGCGGGACAAGGGGACAGCGGGACAAGGGGACAGCGGCACCGCGGCTGCTGACGGCGGGTGAGTCCCCAGTGTCCCCAATGTCTGTCCCCAGTGTCCCCGCCCCTGTGTCCCCCCCTGCTGTCCCCATGGGGTGTCCCCCATGTCCCCAGAGGTGCCACCCCCGTGTAGCCCCTTCCCCCAGGGATGTCCCCATGGGTGTCCCCAGCGTTCCCTGGAGATGCCACCCACGGGTACCCCCATGTCCCCAGGGATGTCCCCATGGGTGTCCCCTGTGTCCCCATGAGATGACATCCTGGGGATCGTCGTGTCGCCATGAGATGTCCCGAGGCTGTCCCTATGGCTGTCCCCACACTGTCCCCGTGTCTCCTGGAGGTGTCCCCACGCTGTCCCTGTGTCCCTGCCACTGTCCCCACACTGTCCCCGTGTCCCCCCGCTGTCCCGTGTGTGTCCCCCCGTGTCCCCACGCTGTCTCCCCGTGTCCCACGGTGTCCCCACGCTGTCCCGAGTGTGTCCCCACGCTGTCCCCACGCTGTCCCCCCGTGTCCCCACGCTGTCCCGTGTGTGTCCCCTCGTGTCCCCCCGTGTCCCCACGCTGTCCCGTGTCCCCCGTGTCCCCAGGCTGTCCCGTGTCCCGCAGGATGTCGCCGGGGGCGCTGCTGTGCGGGGCCAGCGGCCTGGCGCTGCTGGTGGCCGCCACCGCCACCCCGTTCTGGCTGCAGCGCCGGGCACCGGGGGGCACCGCCAGCCTGGGGCTGTGGCACGGCTGCCTCGGGGGACAGTGCCACCCGCACGCCACCGCCCCAGGTACGCCGGGGGGGACACGAGGGCGAAAGTCGGGGGGTCCCACCCCTGTCCCCAACGTCCCCACCCGCGGGGATCCCCACGGTGTCCCCGCGGTGTCCCCACGCTGTCCCCCGGGGGGGCACAGGGCGGGCGCTGGGGGGGTCACCCGCGTGTCCCCACATTGTCCCCACGCCGTGTCCCCCCCCAGCGCTGCTGGAGGCCACGCGGGCGCTGCTGCTGCTCTCGGTGCTCGCCGCCGCCGCGGGGCTCGCCCTGGGCCTGCCCGGGGGCACCGGCGGGGCCCGGCGGCAGCGACGGTGGGGGAACGGGAGCGGGGGTGAAACGGGAACGGGGAGGAACGGGAATGGGGCGAGGGGGAAACGGGAACGGGGGTGGGGCACGGGGACCGGGAGGTCACTGGAACCGGGGTGTCCACCCCTGCCCCGAGCTGTGCCCGGGCTCTGCAGGGGGTGGGATTTCGCCCTCCCCCGATTTTTTGGGGTTCCCAAATCCCCTCCTCACCCCCCTAACCCCCCCCCAGGGATTTTCCACATCTGCTCGGCTTCCAAGGATCCCTCCCCGGAGAGCTCCGAAACTGGGGGGTCCTGAGGGGGCTCCCCGTCCTCCCCCCAGGTTTGGGGTCCCCCCGGGTGCGCTCAGCTGGGTCTGGCCTCTGCTGATCCCCCCCCTTTCCCGTTCCCGGTTTTTCCCAAATTTCCCAAATTTTGCTGTGCCAATAAACGCCCCCTCCCCAACTCCCCGTGGGTTTTCCTGTGGGATTCGGGGGAAATTCGGGGACCCCAAAACTTTTGGGGGCGTCGGTGACGGCCCCCAGGTGTGCGGGAAGGAACTGGGACATGCTGGGGGCC